CGACTATCAACACATATACGCCATGAACCATCCTTATTCGGCACAAATAACGCAGGGACTGCACAAAGGCTCATACTTTCTCGAATATAACCCCTTTCCAATAGCTCCACCACTTGTCGCTGTAACTCTTCAGCCACCTTGGGACTAAGGCGGTATGCTGGTCAATTAAGCAAGCTCGATCCTAAAACAAGATCAATTTGATGATGAATATCCCTCATAGGCGGTAGTCTAGGAAGAAAGTCATCGGGTATTAGGTCAGCGAATTCTGCTAGTAGTTGTTGTACCTCTACTGGTAACTCAGACTCCACTAACATCACTGCACTATCCCCGCAAGGCAGTAGAGCATATACCACATCCCCATGCTCAACCGCTTCTAAAAACCTGGACATAGAAAGTAGATTAGTATTGTTGACTACCAGAGTAGGAGAGGGCCCTTCATGTCGGGGCGACAGAACAATCCTTTTCCCCTTAATGCTAAGGGAATATGTATTCTTCCGTCCATCATGTAACACTGCGATCATACTACCAACATCGACCCAACAATACATGACATGCATCAATTGACACAACATCACACTAAGCATTATCAAAATATTTGCTACCAATTGAAAAAGCGACGAGACATCACCTATCTACGGTTACCTCACTGCCCTTATTCAGCCACGACATCTTGTATGGTTTGGGATGACAATCAATTTTTAACTGCAATTTCTGGACAGCCTCATCGGACACTACATTCTCACAACTGCCACTGTCAATGATCATTTTGTAGACTTTATCAGCAACTGTGCAAGTCGTGTGGAAAAACTCTTACGAACCACCAAAGTCTCATGGCCATCTCCATACAGCACATCATCAATATCATCATCGTCATACATAGCCTCTCCAATCTCCTCAATCTCATCTACCACGTCCTCCTCAATCAAGAAATTTTTCCCCTTTTGACTAGCAAGCTTCCTACAATCAGTAGCCCTATGCCCTTGTTCACCACAACGAAAACACTTAATAGAAGAATTAGAATTA